GGAACAATATACAACGATCCGAGTGCATCTCTTTGGAGGATTCTGAGTGGGGACATTGCCACCAGCCACCGTAATGCCAACCTGTCTCTTCCCCACACCCACTCCCGGTCCCCTGGCTGCGTTCCCCAAATGATCATCATAATCGTGATCGTTTGGGGGATCGGTCTCGGACTCTACACTTTCTGGTCGGCTACTCCAAGGCTGTCTTGTCCTCGGGGATCCATTTTTGGCATGCGTTCGGCAGCGAACACTTCCTGTGGCTGTGGGAAACACTCGAGTGCCCGTTCTCTGGATGCGACGCGTTGGCACGATTTCTGGTCAGCATTGTACAGCTCCTAGTTTGGGGTCCGATGCACCCACCCACATGGAGTGTAATCCATTCGCTGGAAGTCACCTCTTAGCCCGGTTTGTATTGCCAATATTTTGGGAACGCGTTCACATAAATCAATTAGTCAAGTGTTACAGTTTCTGGATGGGATGCTTGTCTGGATTTGGTAGGTTCCATGGGCGGGGATAGGCTGGTCTGCTTAGTTATGGTCTGTTTTTTTTTGTGGTGCATGCAACATGCGCAGCGGTCATAAATTTCCAAGGCGATGCCCCTTTTGTGTTGCTGCAAATGGCATTTAAACAGAGATCTTTCCCTGCTGCTGCCTCCTGGCTCTGGCTGGTGGAAATTGGTGCAAATTGATGAGAATATAAATGGGAAATATTGGGAGCAGAGTGGAGGAGGAGTCGCCGCGATAGCCCAGATCGTTTCCAGCTTCCAGACGGCGAAAAGCGGCCAGGCCAGGAATCTGTTTACTTTGTCAAGTGCCGCACTGGGGGAAATTGATGAAAATTGCAACAATTTACCGGTTCGCACACCCGCAAGATGCGAATCTTGTCCAAGCTGTTTACCAACTCATCTCCACTTGGAACCGGGAACCCCACTCAAGGTCGAGGCAGGTGGAAGAAGCGAAGCCGGTGGACGGAGAGCAGGTGTTGCCTTCATTGACAGTTGCCTGATTGGCTTGTGTTGCATGTCGCACGCCTCGTGCTGCCTCTCCTGGGGCCCAGAGCACCTCCTCCACTTCCTCATCCCACTCCACACCCAGGCCCATGCCGGGCACACCCCTTCATTTGCAGAGATAGAACCCATGCGGGAACCCTGCCAGCCCCAAAGACAACTGCATTTTGGGTCCGGATTGAAAGAGGAAGCGCCTAGTTGGCGGCTTGGCGACTTGCCCACTTGGCGAGCTGGTGTGCCAACGCCCAGAGCAAATATTGGGAGAGATCTCACTCCATCTCCCGTCTTCATAACTCGCTGCAATGTCGTCGCTAATCGCAGGCTCTGGGATTGTAAATTAAAAATGGAAGCTCCGATGGCAGGGAGATTGCATCACCGTTGCTCACTATTAAATGTGTCCGGCATCCATCAGCACTGGAATTAATGATGGGAATGTGAAACCACCAATTTGCCTAGCCGGCTGTCGATGCACGGCTCCTTCGAAGCAGGGAGTCCGAAAAGGAGAAAAGCTTTCCAATACCTCTTCATATGGAGGCAACAATCGAATTGCAATCGCTGCGTGGCCATAACTCCTTCTCAGCCGTCCCTGCTACCCTCCGCCCCCTTAACCCAATATATCCGAATCCCAGTCCGGCGGAGGCTAAGCAGAAGCAAAAAGTGCAGCAATTAGAAGCAGAAGCTGCCGATGGCAGTTGAATGTTGGTCGGTGATTGAGTTGCAGCTCAGGTGGACCCTGACCCCCTCTTGGCAGTCCTAACCGATGGCGAAGGGGAGTGGGAGGCAGCCACAACGGCAACGACCATCGGCAGCAAACAGGAAAATTCATATTACGAAAAAACTGCATCGCTTAAGTGTCATTATTGGGACCAGAATTTCAACAAGTCGCTGCCGTTGTCGTGTCTTCTGATTCAGGTGGTGATGCTGAAGAGGGGTGGAGTGTGGTGAGGTGGAGGACGGCTCAGGGGGATGAAGATGGAGACGGAGATGGTAACTTTCACCGCGCTCAGAATTCCTTTGTGCAGAGAGCCAGTGGTTGCAGCGATCAGTCGGCGCAGAATGGCAGGAACCAGAACCACAGCCAGACATCGCTCAATCTCCACCACCTCGCCACTCCCCCTTTCCGCCCCTCCTAGGTGCGCCAATATCCGCTGGCCACAATCAACACCTCCGCACCGCCCACCGCCCCTCGCAGCGAGGTGGAGCCATCACTCAACTTCAGTCCGTGGCTTTTCGAATCTTCGCCAGCGGTCTCCCGCTCACTCCCCCTGCACTTCCACTGCCCCACCCCCTCGTCACTCGATGTTGTTTTTACACCTTGCTCGTTTTTGTGGCCATGGTCTCGTGTCGAATGGAGCCCAACTTGGGTGCAGAGTGCCGCGTTGCAAGAACAAGCCGCGTCCAAGCCAAGCTCGAAGCTGGTGTCGTCGTCTAAGGGCGTTAACTGGGTTAAACGCTCGTTGACAGTTTTATGCCGCCGACCAAGCCAAGCCAGCAAGCCAAGTCCACATCCGAGGCCACCTCAAGACCAATACCAAGACCAAGACCAAATGGTTGACAGTCAGTCAGTGGCACAGGCCAAACGAGACACTTATTAAGAGTGAAAATTCTGATAGAATGGTTTCCCGCCTTCTGCTTAGAAAGCTGCAATTAGAAAGACCCGAAGGGAGCCATTGAAAAGTGAAACAAACAAATCGGATGGCGCTGCAATTAGAGTGAACTTCGTTACCATTCCACACTCGTAAAGTTCGTCGCCTAAGTCTTTCGATCTTGGCCCTCTAAAGTGGAATCAGGGGTCGCCTTTGATGGCCACTTTCATGCGTGCGATTCTTATCATCAATTAGGAGATTTCCTCCAGACTCTCATCTTCCAACTCCTGCAGGCACTGTCTGCTGATTTATTCACACAACCTGGAGAAACGCCTCAGCAGATTGATGAGTCACATTTGTATCTTTGCGTGCCATCGCAATCCTTTCCATTTCCACATCCACTTCCACTTCCAAAATTCTCGGCATGCACTCCGAGTGAAAGTAAACAACTCCTCTGATCACATCAAGTGAAAAGGGGGCGGGAGGAGGAGGTCGCTCCACTTCTAATGAGCAAACTTGAAATGCATCGCAAGTGGGGAAATATCCGAGGTGGAGACCGATCAATTTGCAAACAATCGAGACACGAGACGAATAAACGAGCTGCAAAGCGAATTTCCTCCGATTGATTGCCGGAAACATAAACAGCGATCACTCTCGCGATCGGAGACAGCTCCTGCTCCTGCTCGACCTCGACTTTCTGGGCGGTTTTTGGGAGTGGGAGTGACGGTGGGAGTGGGTCAGCCCACGCGGCAATCAGAGAATGTGCGAAAAATCGAAAGGAAATTTGCATGTCACTCAATTGAGCAGAGCGGGGCAGAACGACACAATCGGAGTGGAGAGTGTTTCCCAGTTTGTTTGCTCTGCAAACGAACCTCGCCGGATCGCGACCAGATCGGAGGTTGTCTCTGTCACTTTCAGCTGCTTTTTAAGCAGAGCTTGGCACAGTTTACTACGACTTAGAATGCAAAAAAATATTTGAATATCGAGTGACACGGAAAATAGAACAGAATCAGAAACAGAAAAAGAAACACGGCGATGGCCCACTAAAATCGCTTTGCTATTTCCTCCTAACGGTCGAGTATTGATATATCTCTGGGCCATCCGCCCGAATCTGGCCTTGATAAGAGCCCGGTCAACAAACTTGGCTCTCAGCCCGGTTGAACTGTAAATGTCCGAATCCGGATGGAGGATGGCGATTGCAGACTTCCTACTCCCAAAGCTTTTCCGAAAGACACAATTTATATAATTTCTTTATCAGATTCGTTGGTCGCGTTCATTGTTGGAAAATTGTATAATTCCCTCAGAGGCGTTAATCGAACGCAGAGAGCCTCAATTATGGCCACAAAGCGACAAATGCTGGATGCCAGCATCTGAAATCTTAAATCATCGCCTCAATTGTGGCGATCGGATGCCACTGCAGTTGCTCTGAGATGCATGAAAATGGGGGAAAAGTGCGACGAGTGCAGTTCGCTGTGCTTTCGATGATTGCGCGGCAATATTTAATTGCATTATGTGATGGACAAATTCGAGACAGCCTCCGCTTTCTTTGTGGCGCAATGGAGCCAGAGGTTGCATAAACCTCCAAGCCTCGCACCCAGCCCGGTTGCCTTGACTAAGCTGCCCCCACAATCAGTGACCTCATTCCGCTTCCCCTCTCCCGGTTTCAGTAGTTTACCTGCTCATTCGATTGTTATCGCACACTTAATTAGGCGTGCGTTGAGGTAATGCTCGTCGCATCGTGTAGTTCTTGTGGTACTTACAACTTTGGTCATTAAATGAAAAGCTGCAAGGTTCTTCGCAGCTCTTGACAGCTCCCTCCCCGGGAAATCGCAGCGTAGTTGGCTGCCCCCTTTCTCAATTTAGGTCTATTCTGAAAGAATTCTTGCACCTGCAGCTTTAAACGTCTAGGCCCTCGGGCATGGTGGCTATGGCCCGCTGTGGAACTTCAATTTGGCATTATTCAGTGCAATTCAATGCCGAAGCTGCGTGTCAGGCAATCGCATTAGAAAATCATTTGCCTCGACTGTTATAATTGCATTTTATTACTTCCGACAAGAGCTCAAGACTCTGAAGACCCCAGACAGGGCCGAGATAAAGCCCCTGCAGCTGGCAAAGACCTTCAAGAAAAGCTGCTGCTGCTGCGGCTGCTTCTGCTGAAGAAAGTCTTCGCCGAAGAGAGAAGACTGGAAAGAGAGCTGGCAAAGAGATTGGTAGTCGGCGTTAGCTTTCCGTCTTCTACCGGTTTGTCTTGGCCAAGAAAAGCGCAGAGAGGGAGAGAGCGTTAGTTAGTAGCTGGTGGCAGCACTTGGTAGATGGCTCTGCCAAAGTCGACGCCGACTGCGACGCTGGGGCTTCGTGGGCTTCCCAACTCCCAGCTCCCAGCTTGAAAACGTTTTCCGCGGCCTTCGCAGCCAACATTCAGTGTCAAGGTGCTCGAACTGGCGGTCGCTAGCGCTCCTCGAGTGATAGAAGCTAACGAACTCTGAGAGCGGCCCAGTCCAGCCCAATCCTATACGACTTGATTCGATTCGATCCGAATTTCCCCAGCATCTGGAATTCGTAGCCTGCTGCTCAGTCGCAGTCGCAGAGCTGGAGTTGCGTCCAAGAAGTTCGCATAAGAACGTTTAGCCAAATCACATGCCCGGCAGTTAGGCGCTCCACTTTCGACAGTGAGGACGGTGATCGCTCGAGCGGTTCGGCGGTTCACAGTTTCGATCAACTGTTTCGGTTCAACGAATCCAAAAAAACAATACATTAATCAATACAACGTTTTTTAAATCAATAACAATCAATCGTCGATTGTTGGTGCGTGTCCTGCGATATAAAAGTGAAATTTTAAACCGAATCCCAGTGCAATCAATCGTTTGAAGGTAAAATTAAAATCATAAAACAAACTGCTGATGATGGAATGAGAAAAACGCGTTCTGAAAATCGATTGACATTCAATGCCTGACAAGGTGTCAATTGTCAGCCGAACAGGATGTCCACATGTCCATCAATTAAACGAAAATGGTCAATGGATCATTAGAGAAAGCTTTGGGTGAATGTCAGTGCAGTGGCGAGTCCCGAGTCAAGATCGCCGCCAGCCTGATGGAAGGAGAACAAAAACATGGTCAGCCAGCCTGAGGAGATGTCACATTAGTTGCCAGTTGCGAGATAAGTCCGAGCAGAGCAGGAATTTTTGCGATGCCGGAAACAACGGCGCGGAGAACTCGTCAACTCCTAAATGTGCAGAATTCTGCAGGCAATTAACTTTTGCCTGGTCAAGTCTCCTGACTTGTTCTCCCCCTGTTGGCCTTCTTCACTTGATTTACCCACTTGGGATCCTGCTGTTGCTGCCCAATGATTTGGGTCAGGCAACGGTTCGGTGCGACAATTTAATGGCAATTAGTTGGAGACCAGAATGTCAAAGCGGGCTTTAACTTTCGCTTACCCCATTAGAATTGGTCAGCCAACAAGTCACATTCCTTCATTCCTTCTCGCTGACAAATCTTTGGGCTACGTGCCCGAAACTTGAGCTGATTTGGCTCACAATTCATTTTTCGATTACAACATAAGCCCTGGCTCCGCCGGAGCTCATTTGTATTCCGACAAAGTATTCTAACCACTGATCTATGTGGATTCCTCATGATCCAAAGTTAATGCGTTCACAGTTAGAGCGACTTCTTCGTGAGCTATGGAGTTCATGTCTGTGCTCTGTTTCTTGTCGGGGGCTTATGGATTGGGTGAATAGATTAACATTTCGAATGGCTTTCGAATTGGTGCGGTTAGTTTGCCGTTAGGTCGGGCCATGAAATGAAAAGTTTTGTCAAGATTTTTCCAATCAGTGAGTGAGTGAGTGGGGGGAAGCTACCTAGTGCTTTTGAGATACCGCAGTCGGCAAAGGGAAACGAGTTTTATTTTGGAGCCAGAGTCTTTTGATATTTGAGAAATTTCACTGGCCATTAATTGAAGATTTGTCGCTAACTTTGAGAAATTTCTGCCAGCAACAAAAAAGAAATTCTATAGAAATATCTCGGGCTGACCCACATCGGGCCAGGCCAACTGCTCCTTCCGCCAATGGCCAGCGGGTGCAGTTTTCAAATTGCCAGCCATGAAATGAAGATAGCTCAGCCAAATAGTTGTTGGCCAGGTTGCTTGGATGCCCGTTTGCTTGGATGCCAGCTTGCAAGTTTTCCAGCCAGCCAAGTGGCTAGCTCCATCTGCGGTGGCATCCATACATTGCTTACAGTTACATTGAGCAGCGCTTCAATTGAGATAAGCCTCCACTTGGCAGTTATGTCATTCGACAGGCATTTTACTGGCACACTTTTCCAACCAGTCATCCATCCAATCACTTGGCGCGCCGAGCCACGCCGGTCCCCATTCTAATTAAGTTGTAGCAAGTTTTTGGCGAATTGGTGTCATAAAAGTGTTTTATCGGCACCTTGAGAGACAGATAGACAGGCGATGCTCACAGCGGGATTAGCCCAAATATTGAACCAGATCCGAGCACTCTCAAATTGGCACTCGAAAATCCTCCTGTCCGACCACTCTCGTTTCAAGTTGCACTCATTAGGATGCCTTTCATAAAGTCCGACTAAACAAACTGTCAAATTTGGCTGTAAATATGCTAAAATAAAACGGGTTACTAAACTGGGCAACAGCAACTGCAACTGCCTGATAAATGAACAAACATCCCGATGCGAGCATGTATATATAAATCTCCATTCAATTCGAATTGAAATGCCTGCCAAGTGGCCTTAGTGGCTTTGGTAGCAGCCTCATCCACAGCAGGAGCAGCTTGCCTGCCAAATGGAAATTTATGTCCATGTCCGAGAGAGTGCAACTGCGGCAACTGGATGTGGGGATCGCTGCGGCAGACTGCGGATTAGTTTATTGGCCCACTAAAGCGGCTGACCCACAACATTAAATTGTGTGATTTGAGTGGGCCAGTAGCCAAAGTCGGTCCAACAAGGCCGTAACAAAAATACACGGAATCCGATCCACTTTTTCAAAGAGCTCCAAGAAGTACTGGGGTTCGGTTAATTAGAATGTGTACTATTTTCCAGGCATTTCTATTAGCTTTTGTAGTTGTATGAGGTTTGGAGCAAGCACGCGACTAGCTCGACTTACCAGGCGCCGGGTCATTGACCAGCAACCATGAAAATTGATTTGCAGGCAGTTGCATAATCGCTGATTATGAGCCACTCACGACGGGGCAGTCAGTCAGTCGGATTCGATTAGTGCGGAAATCAATCCAAACCTATCCGAGGTTTTTCGAGAGCATGTGGAAAACTGTCCGTTGTGAGCTCTGTGATTTAACGCATATTACACGTAATGCATTTTCCATGCCGCAGCTTAAAAAGCACCAGCTGGGACCCAAGAACCGCAAAAGCCACTAACGATCCGGCTGCCAGCATCCCAGAAACAACGTCCGACATAAAACATCCAACTGTTGTGTTGGCTCCGTATCGATCGCATTGTGATCAGGGGGCCCAATCAGAATTCCTTCTGACCATTTCAGTTAACAGCTTGTGCCGTGGCCCAAGTTCCAGCTGCTGTTGGTTTTTCTTTGGCTTTTATTTTCATTATTTTTTTGTTTTGCCTCTCATTTTTGCCCCCTCAGTTTGGGGCTTCCTGTGCGTGCGCCTGGCTAAGTGGCATTATTTTAATTCCTGAGCCTCTGCGTGTGAGCAGAGCTTAGATCGGACAACGGACCACGGATCTCGGGCCATGGAGGGGGGGCGGCCCATCAGCCAAATTGATTTTGCATCTATTTCTTTGCAATTAATCAAATGCCTTTCGTGATGGTGGGCGTTGCAGTTGCAGGAGTGGTAAACCCATTATTACGGCTTAACTGTAACTGCTGGGGCAATTAATCATGAGATAAGCATGGGGACTGGCAAACTGAAATGCTAATTAAAAACCAAGCTACCAAAACATTCTTTATGGCTCTTTTCTTTCTGTTCTCTTCTCCATTTTTTGCAGTGAGGCAGGGAAACAGAAGCAATGCAACTACAGCTACGGTCAATGACAAAGAAACGAGTCAGCATGATGAAGACGACGACAAGTTACCTGGCGCTGATCGCCTTAATGCTGCTGCTGGTGGACAGCTCGGTGGCAGCACGCAAGTTGCCCAAGCGGCCGGTGAAACCGTTGAAGACATTTCCGCGCAACAATGCTACACCGATACCGGCAACGGGAGCGGGAGCGGCTGCGGGATCGGTATCGGGAACTCCACTGAACGGAAGCGAGCTACCAAAACCGTTGACACTGCAGTCCGGCGGCGAGCCAGCGGAAGCGATTGTTGCATCTCCACCTGGAGCGGCTGCCCCAGCACCTGCAGTAGCTGCCTCACCTGCTGTAGCCGCAGCTTCCCCTAGTTCTGGTCTAGAGACCAAAGCCGATGATCTCGGCCCATCTGCAACGGCAACACCTTCCAGCTCCTCGGCGGACGAGGATTGCGAACCGGATATGATTGGATTTGAGCTCATAACAGGGTAAGTGTCACCGCTTCGGCCCATAAATTTTAATTGCGGGCAATTAGTTGCCCCATGTTGCAGGGACAATCCCACGAGGGAGCATAACTCAAGCGCTTCCAAGTCGGTTGGAAAATATGCAGCCTGTTAACACATCGTAAAGAGCTGGCCGGGAGGGTTCAGGCTCACCTCCATTTATAATGCTGCAACCCACCCACTTGGGGGAGGCCTCCGGGAACTGGGAACCCAACCCGAGAACCTGTTGCGCCTCCTTCACTCTCTTTTTTTCCCCATTTTTGTTACCACAAATGGCTAACCGAGAATTTATGTGCGTTACTTTCCGCCTAATCCACCATCGCAGGTACGTGCTATCGGCGCCATCGAAGCAATTGGAAACGCTGCCCGGCACCCTCATGCTGACCGACTGCCTGGAGGCCTGCCAGGCCAATGAATCTTGCAGCGCGGTTAATTACGAGACGGGGCTGTGTGTCATGTTCCGCAGTACCGCCGATCAGTTGCCAGGTGAGTTCAGCTCGGAAAAGAGAAAACTATTGGTTGTAAACAAAGTTCAGAATAGGTCAACATGTCGGCGACAAATATTAAGTTATAAACGAAAGCTATAAACGAATATAATTTTGGTTGAAGTTTTAGCTGCACATTTAGTCAATGAGTACTTAAACAATAATGTCCTAGTTGTCCTACCTTTTAAGGTGCCTTACAAAGTAGTTTTTCTTGTAATACTATTAACCAAAAATGTTTAAAGCTTAAAGACCTGGGAATGAATTCATTCACATTATTTAAATATCTTATGCCTAGGAATATCTTTAAAAACTGTATACCCTGTCGATCAGAAATTACAGGGTATAAGAATCCAATGAACTTTTTCCTTGTGTAATCTTTGGGCCAAGAGTGCGCTCTGAACAGCACTCGATCTACCAATCACGAGCCCATGGCCCGCAGCTTGTATGTTAAATGTTCCCCGGTAATCGCAATAAATACCCAAAATGCCCCTCTCTTCCACTCTCCCGTGTCTTACAGGTTCACTTTCCCGGTCCCAGTATCCCGTCTTCACCGTTTACGCGCAGAAATCCTGCTTTGGAGTGCGGCCCTGCTCGAAGGCCTGGTGCATCGATCGCGTACAGGGCTACCGGCTCCCGGAGCGGGCCAAGGCCAGCCAGAGCGTAGCTACGCGGCGGGACTGCATCGAACTGTGCCTGGGCGAGACGGAGTTCACCTGCCGGTAAGTGATGCGATACCGTTACAACGAGCCACCCTCTTGAAACGCCCCCTCCACACAATACACCTCTATGCGCCTCTTCAAGGCACTCCATACCTCATACCAAACAGAGAGTTATACACAGTGCGAAATAAGCTTGAAGTTCCGACAAGTTATGGTTATGGTTAAGGACTAAATATTAAACACCTTTCGTCATAGGACTTCGACCCTAAATTTTTCGACCCCAATTAAACCCAAATACATATTTGTTTCATTAATAAAAGGTTCTAAATATATTCAATTATTTCATTTACATTTTTTTTCCATGTGCATGACATTCTTCCTGAAGATCGGCCAACTACTATGCGCACTCTGGCCTGTGCGAGCTCTCGGACATGGATCGCATTACGCTGTCGGACGAGGCGAACATTGCGGCCTACGATGGCGCCGACTATTTGGAAAACAACTGCGCCGAGGAGCCCAGCAAGCTGTGTGAGTTCAAGCGCGTCGCGGGTCGCATTCTGAAGACCGTGGACTCGGTGCATCAGAATGTTCAGAGTCTGGACGAGTGCCGTGACCTCTGCCTGACTGCTCCGTTCCGGTGCCATTCGTACGACTACAACGAGACCGGTGAGCTGGTGTGCCGTCTGTCCCACCACAGTCGCGCCACGCTGACGGATCTATCCGAGCCGTATCTGAGCATCGAGGAGGCAGCCACCTACGAGCAGTCCGCCTGCTACAACGTTTCGATCGACTGTCGCTCCGGCGAGATGGTGACCAAGATCCGAACCTCCAAGCTCTTCGATGGCAAGGTCTATGCCAAGGGTGCGCCCAAATCTTGCGCCGTAAATGTCAACAACTCCCTGGAGTTCGATCTGCGGATGAGGTACAATGATCTGGAGTGCAATGTCCGCCAGAGTGCGTACGGCCGGTACATGAACGACATTGTGATCCAGCATCATGACATGATTGTGACTTCCTCGGATCTGGGACTGGCCGTCTCCTGCCAGTACGACTTGACCAATAAGACGGTGGTGAACAATGTGGACCTGGGCGTCACCGGCGAGATCGAGTCGACGCTAAGCGAGGAGATCATCGTCGACTCCCCGAACGTCATAATGAAGATCACCGCACGTGATGGCAGCGACATGAAGCGCATCGCCGAGGTAGGCGATCCGCTGGCATTGCGCTTTGAAATCGTCGACGCAAACAGCCCGTACGAGATCTTCGTCAGGGAACTGGTGGCCATGGACGGGACGGACAGCGCCGAAATCACACTGATCGACGCCAACGGCTGTCCCACGGACCAGTACATAATGAGTGCCATGCAAAAGCTGGCCGGCAATCGCAAGGTGCTGCTCTCACAGTTCGACGCCTTCAAGTTCCCCTCCTCGGAGCTGGTGCAGTTCCGCGCCCTGGTCACGCCCTGCATACCGCGCTGCGAACCGGTTATCTGCGACAACGATGAGAACGGCGAGCTCAAGTCGCTGCTGTCCTACGGTCGTCGCAAACGCTCGGTGTTCAACGGCACCGATGGCGGTAAGTGAACGGTTCTTCTTGTCTGCCAGGGATGGCGACGCCATCCGCCATCCACCATCCGCCAAGTGACCTCTTCCCAAGTCGGGTGCATGGTGCATGGTGCATGGTGCGGTGGTGGAGATAGTGGCCGCGTTGAAAAATCACCAGACTTGCCCATATGACATTTACCACCATGCCAGGAATGGTTAGCAAGCTTACTGGCTGAAAAAGGTTAAATTGTTAATTAGGAAAGACTAGAAATTCCTTGCTGGTTATTTATTTTGTTCAGGAGAAGACGGTTTCTTAAACTTGACCTTTAAATATCTATGGGTTTTGAAGCTTGGTTTACCTCTTGCTTTAATTTCTGATTTAGTAGCTAATAAGTATTATAAAGTTCAGTATAGAAACCACTAGAAAACTCTAAAATCATATACCTCTACAAAGAAGGTCTATATACTTAATATGCAATATGTTTCAGTCATCCAGTAAAGTGCAATTTTGATATGGTATCTGGACGTGGTTGGCAATCCATCCCTGGTCAGTTGCACTGATCCCAGAAAACAAATTTCATTTCTTGTTTGCCTCTTTGGCGTTTCTCTTTCCGCGCCTGCACTTTTGTGCTTTGCTTTTTTATGTTGCTGCTCTGCTGTTGTGCTTTTCTGATGTTGTGCTGCTGCTACCTTTTCACAGTTGAGCTGGCCATTAAGTCGGAACGCCAAAAACGTGATGTGAGTCATCAGGCGGCCAGCGATGAGAACATTCTGCTGGTGCAATCGATACAAATCACCGATAAGTTCGCCTTCAATGGCGCCGATGGAGGCGGTGGCGGCGCTGGATCGGAGTCTGGTCTGGATGGCCTGGCCAAATTGCAACTGGACCTTGGCACCAAGTCGGACACTTGCATAAACGGTTATGGTGAGTACAGGGGCAGGGACATGGGCTAGGGCTGTGGCAAGGCAGAGGCAGCGGCATGGGCAGGAGCTGGAGCAGGTAAGGTGGCCCCAGAATATCATCTGAGTTCGGTAAGGTTGCTGGCTTATGGGTAGCACGGTGGCGATCGCAGCTCCATCTATTTGGTATCGCCGAGCGTGGCGAATTGATTTGCGTTAATCGCGTGCCGTCGCGCCATCTAGCCCCAAGTTTCAGCCAGGGTTCTTAGATGGCCCGCGGCCGAGGCTTGGCTAGCTTGCTGACTTGCTGACTTGCCGACTGAGTGCCCAGCTAATTAAATAAGCTCGTAAATTTTCTTCAACTCTTTTTACAACTCTATTACCAACACACTCCACTCACTTCACATTCAGGTTTCATAATTGCCGGGGCGCTGTTCCTGCTGCTCCAACTGACGGTCATTGCTGTTTGGGACAATATGCAGAAGCGCGCGTTACACAAGCGATAAATGCAGAATCGATGCCGGAACGTCAAACGTCAGTGAATGGCCTTTTAACAAGCAACACGAAGGGGCACCAGATAGAGACGGAGATGGAGACGAAGACGGCGATGGAGATGGACTTAAAGATGGAGATTGGAGATGCAGATACAGATGCATTTCCTGGTGGAGGTGAAGGCGGAGATGGGAGAAGAACTAGCATGAAATTCTACTTAGCTCAAAACTTAGCACCGCTCATAATCTAGTTAGTAGATGTACGATCGAGGGATGGAGATCCCGAGGAGAGCCCTTCCCCTGAAACTCCTCCACACGATGCCAAACACAGAGCTGGATTACTCTGTGAAGGAAAAATCGCACCAGTGAAGAAAAGAAATGTGGATGGATGGTTGAGTGGATGGAGGGGCGGAGAAACTGTAGCTTAATATTTATACTATACCTATATGCTCATATAACGTTTAGGCGATCCCTTTATAAGACTTACCGCTAAGACTACTCTGAATACGTCGACATACTATCAGCTTAAGACTCGGAAACGAAAAGCTCCTTAGTTGTAGTGCGAACCATTCAAACCTCTTAAGCGAGTTTCGAACTGACAACCACTGGCCAACAATGCTCGTTTAAGAGGTTTGACTGTCTACTAATACTTAAATACTTAACTTAATGCTTATATATGCTAGGCCTAATCGAACACAAATACGAACACACACACTCAAAAAAAAACAACACAAAATCAAATGAAAATAAAATGTAACAAGAGACAAAACTTCAGATGCTATAAAAGGTAAATAAACGTATTAGAAAGATACTCGTTTGCATTGGCTTTACTTTTCTTTTTGGCGGGGTTGCTGGGATTCCTTAGCTCGTTCCTACGGAAAACAAAATTTGCCCGTCAATGTCAATGCCAATTGATTGACTGTATCTCTCGGCCGGGCAGTCTAACAAGGCCAACCTCAAGCCATGGCCATGATTGTTGGTTTTGGCCTAATCAACGTTGATACAAATCAATCAGAGCGCCGTTTAGCCCGCTCCCCAACCCGCCGTTGGCGAACAGCTCCTCCTACAATCGAATGCCACACTCACCAGGTGGAAAATTGGCCAGAGTGAAACCGAACCATGTCTAAGCGGCACTGAACTCGGCTAAACGGCCCTCAACTTGGCCCAAACTGTAGCTGCAGTAAAAGTGACAAACTAATTGGGCGAGGAAAAGAGGGCTATGAATTGCAGGTAAACAACTTCATTAACAAGATTTCACCTACATTTCGAGGCAAGCCATTAAAATGAGGTGCAAAAAGGGCGGGTGGAGCAAATTACATTTACAGCGACTATAAAAGTTTATTAAGATAAATGCTGTGTATGCTATAAGCAACAATATAAGCTCATTCCTTGGAAAAAAAAAATGTTATAAATAAATATTTTGCAAATAAAAAATAATTTAATGGCATTGTAAATGTTTACCGATCATTATCCTCCATTTAAGATTGAAGGAAAAATGCCAATTTCCAGAGAGAGTTTTTCACAGCCATTCTTCACCTTCGCCAAGATGAAAAGTCACCATAATTTTTAGTCATAATTATTACTGATTTTCTATCAACCCACCCCAAGATGGCAGTCGCAAAGAACAACAACACCAAGATCGACAAAACAGAAAAACAATTTGAAAGGAAATGTTTAACATTATCTCGAATCTGATGCTTTGAACTCGGCGCAAGTTGGCAAACATGAACATGAAAAGTTGCCAAGTCAAATGCTGTCACCGACATGGCCATCCAAATTTAGACAAAGCCTCCGCGATGGCCTCCAGAGGAGGCTCAACTGCTCCTCTGCTACTCCTCTTTTTGTTCATTTTTTTTCTAATACTTGGTCGGACCAACTGTCCCCGACTTGTGCTCCCTGGCATAGCGAAAGTCTTTGGACACTTTCCGTCCTCGGACCGCAGCAGGCTGCTTCACAGCATCCGTTTGCTGGCATCTTTCTTTTCTAGATTTTTGTCACTGCAGCGGGCGGTCGGCTGGTTGGACGGGGGGCACGCATAACATAAATTCTGCAATGCGTATTTCAAAAATTGCCAGCATTCGATGATAAAACGAAGGAGGTGGAGCTCCAGCGGCCTCGGCGGCGTGTCGTCCGTTCTTATAAGGAGCCGAACAGAGGCCTTGGCCATTCAGTTGTCCGCTGGGCAAATGTTTATGTCAAACGCGCAGCAAATAAAGTGCTCGGCTTGACAATGTCCGCGGCAATGTCAACAGCAGCAGCCGCGATGAGGAGAACGCCGCCGACTGCTGACTGCCGATGGCCCTTGGGGACCAATCTGGGTGGGTAGCTATTTTTTGTGGCCACTACTGCCAGTCGGGCTACTCTGCTGCCAGAGGCTCTTTTCATAATTTTTATGAATTGCTGCAGAGACAATGGCCTGACGGAAGTGAAACCGAAATTGAATGTAATAGAAGGAATTATCGACAAGTATACAAGCTAATCATTTTTAACAATAATGCGACATTCTGTTTGATAGAACAAAGAAGTCAGCTTTAATATGATAAGAGCTTAGGAAACTAACTTGATGTAAAGACTTTTTTCTACAAAAATCAAAAGACTCAGACAACAAACTTGATCCATAATCCATAACTTTTCCTATTTGTTACAATGGCCTGACGGAAATGCAATTGCAAACCATTTGCAAATCAGTCCACAGAGCCAAACAAAAAACAGGCCAGTACCAAATTGAATGTGGTAGAAGGCATAATTGATAAGAATTAAAAAATAACGCCACTTGCTCGAATCACGCACGCGAATTCAATGCCCGAAACGGTCTTGTTGCCAGCATTGAGATTGGGCCAAGATCATCGCCAGGTGATCGATACGGGAGCAACAGTTGCATTTTGCCAGCCGGCAGTTGGATCGTTAGCGGCATTGCGGTTCTTTTCTTTTGCCACAGCGGCAGCATGGAAAATGCATTACGTGTAATATGCGTTAAAGCACGAAGTTCAGCTTACAGATGAGATATGTGTGGAATATTCCAGCGGCTGCGATTGATTTCCGCACTAATCAAATTCGAATTTAGCTTTGATTTTTCATTTTGAGGTAGTGGATAATGTGGTGTGTGCAGAGAAAGAAATTCTACGTTACTAGCATGTATTATTGAACTAAATAGTGTAAGTGTATTTAATAACACTTCCCTAACAATTCACTTGTACAAAATCGTATAAGCTTAACTACGGTGGTTAGTATTTTAATTATTTATTATTTGCACGTTAACGATTAATGATTGACCTCAATTTTATACGTCTCTGTTTGACAGTGTAGAGTCTACATCAACAATTACGCAATTGCCTGGCTGTAAATCGATTTGCATGCCTGCTGCCAAGCCTGGTCAGCCTTGGTCAATGACATGGCCGAGTCATTAGCGAAACCCCAAGAATGAGTCGCGTGCCTCTTGCTATACCGTTTCGCCTCTCTCTTGGCGAACCCGGGACCTGGAACCCAGGAATCAGGGAAACTCCACACAAAGACTCACACAATTGCAGGCCACCACACTGGGGCGCGAAGAGTCACAGATGGGAATTCTAATTACTCGATTTCTTGTTGACTCCACTGACTTACATGAGCAAGAACATGCCGGACAGAAATGAGCCGGCCAGTGCTGGAGCTGCAAATGTGTCCAGGAGTTGGGGGGGTAAGCGAAATTTGCAGTAAAAATGTTCGTTTGCCCCACTCAAATTACAATTTAATGTTGTGGGTCAGTTGCCTTAGTGGGGCAATAAACAAAGTTTCAGCCGAAGTCCGATTCCCAGTCCGAGTCCGAGTCCGAATTCAAGTCGCAGATTCCTTGCAATGCCCAGGCCACATAAATTGACTGTGTGCGCACAGCACACCAATGTCCGAATGATTGTGTGCCGCAGGGAGTGGGGCGTACTCAAGCTTTTTTCTATGAATTTTCTATTTTTATACCCTTGAAGAGGGTATTATAATTTTGGTCCAAAGTGTGCAGACGTGAAGGAGAAGTCTGCGACCCTATAACTTCTCAGATTCTCTCAGTATGCAGAATTATGGAGAATCGAACCACAAATCGTTTAAGGTACTCCACTTGAGAATCGGATAAGAATTGGGGAAGATATAGCCATCATTGTGGGCCCTATATAGGAAAACCCCATTTTCAAGGGATCCCATCACGAAAAATGGACAAAAAATCTAAAAAATATTTCGTCTTAGGACTTTGATGCAGAATTGTGGAGAATCGACCCACAAATCGTTTAAGGTACTCCGCTTGAGAATCGGATAAGAATTGGGGAAGATACAGCCATCACTGTGGGCCCTCTATAGGAAAACCCCATTTTCAAGGGATCCCATCACGAAAAATGGACAAAAAATCTAAAAAATATTTTGTCTCAAGATTTTGATGCAGAATTATGGAGAATCGACCCACAAATCGTTTAAGGTGCTCCGCTTGAGAATCGGATAAGAATTGGGGAAGATACAGCCATCACTGTGGGCCCTCTATAGGAAAACCCCATTTTCAAGGGATCCCATCACGAAAAATGGACAAAAAATCTAAAAAAATATTTAGTCTCAGGATTTTGATGCATAATTGTGGAGAATCGACCCACAAATCGTTTAAGGTACTCCGCTTGAGAATCGGATAGGAATTGGGGAAGATATAGCCATATAGGAAGTATTTGGTCTTAATCTTAACCGCAAGGGTATATCAACTTCGGCTCCGCCCGAAGTTAGCTTTCCTTTCCTGTTTTCTTTATTTTGGTTTGCATTTACAATTGCTGCCGCGGTGCGCTTTGGCTGCACATTTGGATCCAAATTCAAATTCAGATTTAGACTCGAATTCAGGTTCGATGGCGATTTATTTGGGCGAATAAACAAATGGCATGTGCAGAGTGTTAATTTATCAAGTTGCCGGCGCACACCATTGAAACTAAGTGCGAGGAAATCACTTTGCAACGGCGCATTCCCCGACTCGTTGCTTTTCGGCAGTTGTTCAACAGCTCAGAAGATCCCGAGATGCTCAATCCTGAATGTTCAATGCCCAATGCTCAGATGCTGTCGGTTGGCATATTTATGGCCCGGCTGCTCATTTTGTCAGCCCAAAGTGCCTGCCATATATCAGGGGAGCATATCTCATTACTTTGTGATATTGCCAATGCATTTTGTCTGACCCAATGCGACACCTACGAATAATGAAAAGGACGCAGATACCCCATGCCAACTTGGACGCGGATGTGGAGAAAGATTTGGGCAAGCCAACTGGATTTCTCCCAAAAAAGAAAAAAATACAGCCAACACCGAAACTATATGAGACAACAGCCGATACGAAAGACTTAAGCGACAAACTTGATTTGAATGAAAACTTTACAGGGATCATTTCCTGCCGACCTTATTACTTCGGAAATAAATTTGAAAACCTATGTATTTTCCGATCAAAGGCATTATTCAAATCGAAACCATTAACAAAAAATCCCATATTTTCCTCCCATAATAGAAGCAATAAATTCATCAATTTAAATCTTTGGGAGGTCCATCCACCTTCGCTGCAAGCCACATCACATTAAATGAATTTCCCTATAATTTATTGTTGATCTTTAGGCCTCATTAAAATGCTGCTCCAGTCGCGGCTCCACTTGTGCACAGCCGGGCAGTAAATGAACTGGACCACATAGATCATTCATAAGCAAAAGATCTCGTGGCGATGGCCAGCATATTGA